CACCTGTCTGCTCGGTCCCTGCCCTTCCCGGGCTGCTGAGAGTGCCAGGAATCCAAAAAGTTCCCCGTTTCCATCTCCCCACTTAAGGATGGTGGGACCCCCCCAGTGTCCCCCCAAGTAGGATTTTCCACTCAGCTTTGGAGGTCCACATTCTCCAAACATCCCCCGCCCAAATAAACCCAACCCAGGGACCGCCCCAGGATATCTGGGCAAAGCTCCCACTCCCCAGTCACCTGTGGGATGGTGGGTGATGATCGCAGAGGTGGGGGACTATGAATTCAGGGAGTGCTCGACCTTGTGGTTCCTTCTCCTTTCCCTGATCCTCATTTGTCCCTCCTCCTCCTCCTGCTCCTCTTCCATCCCTCCTCCTCCCCCAAATGGAGCAGTGACACCCTCAGTGCCTCGTTCCCAGACCCCTCACAGCCCACGGCAGGAGCGGGGATGGAGCCGGGACAGGTCAGGATGGGCAGCGTGGGGCTCTCAGCTGCTCCCACCCTCTGGGGACGGGTGGAACACGGCCCGGGGAAAAGGAGAGGGAAACTGGGAAAATTGGGGGCAGCAGATCCAACCTGGGGCTAGCTGGGGACCCTGGATGGGGACTGCCAACCCTTGGGGCTCCTCTGGGGAGATGCGGGAGGGGGGAACACAGAGAGGGCTGGGGGATCCCTGGAGTGGCAGCACTGGCAGGGACTGGTTTGTACTGGGATCATCCTGGCAGTGGCTGAGATTCCACTGGCTGTGTAGTGACATCATACTGGGATATCATACTGGGATCGTTTTGGCAGTGAGTAGGAGCCTGCAGGGGGCAATTGAGACCAGGTTGTCAAGAACTGGGAATATGCCCTGCACTCCCCAGAACCCCAGTATCACCCCCCATATGTCCTATAAGTCTACCCCAAACCCTCCAGGATCCCTGAGTCCCCCTCAGCGCCCGTTCAGGACCCCCCAAAGCGTCCCTGGATCCCTGAATGCTCCGGACCCCACAGATGCCCCTTCCAGACACTGCTGGGAATTCATCTCCCATCATCCCAGAACACAGTTCCGCTCCCAAACCTCCTGCCGCGCCCCACGCCCTAAAGAGCCCGGTTAGAGCTCCCCAGGTTCCCGCCAAGTGCTCCCGAGCCGTATACATTCGCCCCGAGTATGGATGCTAGCTTTGGAACAGGCTGCAGGGAGCTGCAGAAAATGCAGGCCCATAGCCTCTCAGTCCTGCCTGAGAAGCTAGCCTGGAAATTCAAAGGAGGATTTCAAAACAATCCTCAGAGACAGAAAACAACTGCCAGGTGTTGTTTTTCTGTCCTCTTGTTTCCTCTTGCAGGAGAGAGTCAGGGGGGCAATGTGCCCCTGACCAATGATGGTGATGTAGCACTTTGTTAACCAATAAGAGTTTCTTTTCTGTACTTTCCACGTATCTGTCTATAAGACAGGGATGAAGCAATAAACTAAGTGTTATAAATGCAACGGCAGATTAAAGATTAACAAAGATTAATTTATTATAAATTAATAAAGCAACAAACAGCGAGGAAAAAACCACAATAAATGGACAGCGCAGCGCTGGGTGGACAGGGTCTATACGCAAGGTATAGGTGTTCCCAAATCCACGTCTGAGGGTTCTCTGGCCTGGGTTTTTATAGGGATTTTATGTCCCCAGGCTAGAATTCCAACCAGTTTCCATTCACCAAATGTCCCTGATTGTCTGGTGAATGGATTTCCTGGCCTAGAACATTGAGTCAGTAAGTATCCGGGCAGAGTCTCCTCAAATGCAAAGTGAGTCTGTATGTATTTTAACATATTTCATCACAGCAGGATTGAGAGATCCGGGCTAGCACCGATGGATATCTCGGAGGAGTAGTCTCTTCTTTGTCTTTCTTGATTGAGTTTCTGTAGTATGGGTTTGGCGGGTGTGGTGTTCGATTCTGGCAACGACCATTTTCCTGAGGCTCGTCCCTTTTGTCTTGCTTGATGGTCTTTGGCCGAAATCGGCCGGGCGTTGCCTTTCTCTGGAGGTAGACTTTTAGGCTGTTTCTTTTGTTTCTATGATGGCCTGTGTCCTGTCCTTTCCTCCGAGTTGATGAGTCTGCTGAAACCTGTTATCTGGGGGGGTTCTTTTGCAATTCGTGATTTTTGGAAGAGGAATTCTACCTCGACCGGGAGGAGAATTCCTTATTCCATACTTTCATTTAGTTATAATTATACATACTTTATTTAAACTTCTTATTTCCGAATTTTTATTTACCCAATTCTTTATTACATAAGGAATTCTCGTGTTGTGACTCCCTTGAGAGTCCAGTGTCGTTCATCCTAGCCGTTCCCAATCGGAACGACACCCGAGGACCTGCAACCACAGCTCGGACGGAAAAGTTCTCTCCAAGTGCTTCCCTGCACCGCCAAACGCGCCTTCTGAGCCACTTCCGGGACAACAGCTCCCATCATGCTCCGCGGCGCCCATAGAGTGCTATTCCAGCCACGACTCCATCTCCCGTCATGCCCCACGCCCCACCGGAACCCATTGGAGGTGCGCCTATAACTCCCGTGATGCTCCGCGGCCCCATTAAACCGTATTATACCGGCGCCTACAACTCCCATCATCCGCTGCAGCCCATAGCTTCCCCGTTACAGCCCCCGAAGTGCCTGCCCGGACCCCGAAGTTCCCCCAGATTCTCCTCCCTGACTTCCAAGAGCCCCCCTGGACGCCCAAGTGCTCCCCCAGACCATGAATTGTCCCACAGAATCCCTAAGTGCCCACCTGGCTACCCCAGGTGTCCTCCAGACCACCAAGTTCTCTCTAAATTCCCTCCCCAGACACAAAACTGCCCCAAATGTTCACCAGAAAAGTTTCCATGGACCCCAAAGTGGTCCCTTTTACCCAATCTGAGAAAATTATTAGAAAATATGATCAAAGGACTAAAAGTAGGAATCTGAGAAAATTATTAGAAAATATGATCAAAGGACTAAAAGTAGGACGAATTAGCAAAAAGAGGGAGAAATAGTGGTCAATTAATTAATGAAGGGAATTGTGGTACTTTGAACCAAGGACCGATAATGTTTTTTGTTCCTAAAATTGTATCAATTCTTTCATATAAATATAAAAATTAGGTTCTAAAAATACAGAACAATATTATTATAAAAAATGAAATTTCATTTTTTAAAATTAATTAGATTTTAATTATAAAGAAAAATTATAAAGAGAAATGTTATCAATGTTTTGGGATGTCAGTCCCACGTGGGCGATGTCAGACATGCTGAGGCTCAGGATGAGGAGCAGGTTGACCAAACAGGGGCAGCCCACAGGGTCCTCATTCTTCTCTGTGACCAGACTCCCTAAGGAGATATTCAGCATTAGGATTGTAAAGAGTAAATCATGACCTCCTGATCAGTACACAAAGATGTTTTACAGTTTTAACAGTAGAATGTTGTCACCGTAAGGGGCCTTCTTTGTTAATATAGCTCATATTGTGTCATGTTTTTTAAATACCAATGTTGTTGTACCAACCTTCTTTGTTAAAATATTGTTATAAATGAAATTAGAATTTTGACAACTAGGTCCCTTGGCTTAATGGCAGTTTAATTAAAAATGAATACAATTTACTAAACTGAATAGTAATGTGGTATAAAAGAATACAGTTTAGTAAAATAATACAGTTTAATAAAAAATTTAAATTTATATATATAATCTACTAGTAATTAAGTATGATTAAAGCATAAGCAAAACCAACCAGGGTACGGAGGCTTCCCACCCTGCCTCACGTTCAAAACAAAGCACTTCAAGCTAAACTCATATACTGTATGCTTATACATATTCATTAATGTTTCCTGTAAGTTTCCTCCTATTTCCAATTTTTCTGATTAACGTCACTTTTCTTCACGGCACATGCCTCACTTGTTGTTAGGGGGTCTTCAGTCTTCTTTTGGTGGTCTTTTGGTGAAGGCTTCTCTTTTTCCTCATTGTCCTTTTGATAACCTTACAGGTTTGCATGTGCGTACTAAGCCTTGTGTTATGTTAGTCTACTAATTAGCCTTATATTTACTAATCCTTATGCCCAATGCCTAAATTTGTTCTAATTTTGGTCCATCTCAAGGCCATTTTGGTCTTGAGACACCATTTATCTTCTAAACTACATCCTGTACCTCATTTTGACATGTAACATCTGCAAAGGGGTACATCTGCTTTGTAACACTGATTCTTGATTGTTTCTAATAATAACTTTAATAACAGTTACAATTTAGTTAGCACGAACCAATTCCATTTATTACAACTGTAAATACCCCTTATGCACCTTTTTATTGGTTTCCATGCTAACGGCCTTGCTTTCTTCCTTGCTATGGATAAACTTGTATTTTCTCAATTTCTTCTTTTGCTAACTCTACAATTGTTTGGCTGCAGACCAGTTGCTAAGCCCATCCACATTCAGCTCTTAGTCTTCAGAGGGAAACTGTGAGCACAGTGAGAATCTCCCAGTGTGCAAGAGGGTCCCTGTGTGCCAGCTGCAGCTGGGGCCTCAGCCATCTCCTCTCTCAACAGGTTCCCCTCTACAGCTTCACAGGAAAGGCCAAACACCTCCCTCAGGGACACCTGCACCACACATTTCACATCTCCATGCCCATACGTGATGTCCCTGTCACAGCTGCATTACCAGCTTGCTGCTGTGCAGATGCTGCCACCACCCAAAGCAAGGCCCTGTGTCCCTGAAGGGACCCGCCCTGCTCTGTGGCCTGGACTGAAGGTGGGTCCCTCCTGCCAGGGCAGGGCCTGACACAGCTCTTCTGTTCCAATAAAGAGATGGAGCTGTCACCCCAGTGTCTGGCTGGTACCACCAGCAAAGCCCACACAGCACCAGCCCTGGCTGAGCTCCATGTCCAGGAGCAGGCGGGGCTGACCACGGTGTGGGCAGGCAGGAGCCAGGCAGGGGCTGCTGTGACCAGCAGCGGGGCCCCGAGGGGCTGGGGGAGTCTGTGTTGAGTGTCCCTGGGCTGAGGGCACATTTCCTTCAGTGGCATCACCTGGGCCTGGACCTCCTCCAGTGCCATGCCCAGGAAAAGAGGGAACCATCAAGAGCATCTCATGGGACAGAACATGACCAGCAATGTCAGCAGGCAAAACCAAGGTTTTGTTTAGCAATGACCCTTTGATGAAGTCAAAGATTTACAATCAGTCCAGTACAGATTGGAGTACAGATGGGAGAACACTCAGGGGGTACAGCCAAGGCCATGAGGTCACAGCAGTCTCTGGGGTGACAGCAGGCTGAGGTGACAGCAGGCTCTGAGGTCACAGAGGTCCCAGAGCCCCGTGGTTGCACAGCACCACAAGGACCGAGCAGTCAGTCCTTGACCACGACTGCTGTGGCAGCAGCGGTGCTGACATTGGGACAGCGGTGTCAGGACAGTGGTGGCAGCAAGAGCTGCAGGACTGGCAGTGGGCAAGGCACCATGGCCTTTGCTCTGCGCCTCCTCCTCCTGCTCCTCCTGGCAGTGGCCCTGCCTGACAGGGCTGCCCAGGCTGCTCCGTGGCGAGCACAGGGAGCAGGTGAGCCCAGGGCCTGGCTTCCCTTTCCTGAGACAGCACTTCCTTCTCCCTGGGAAGCATTGGGGATGGTTTTCCCCCAGGGCTTAAGGGAGGGCTTCCTCTGTGCGTGGGAGAGAGTCCCCAGAGCCCCTGGGCTGGTCCCGCTGCCCCACCAGGGATGTTGCATGGGGCCTGCAAAGAAGGTGGAGAGTGACCAGAGCCAGCCCAGAGCTCTCCAGGCCCCTCTGCAGCTTTGGCCATGTCCACTGACATCTGGCTGCCACGGCCTTTCCCAACCCCCTTGCAGTGCCCAGTTCCCTAATGCAGAAGGGGGTCCCAGCACACCATGGAATGGTTCTGATCTGTGCTTCCTTCCAGATGAGGGTGGTAGGAAGGCTCCTCCAGCAGCTTGGCTTCATGAAGATTTTCTGCCTCTGGAGCCCCATGCAGGTATATTCTCACTGTCCCAGCAAGAAATAATCATTGACCACCTGTCATGAACCAGGTGACAGAAGCTTCTGTGGCTGTTGAGTTACAGGTGTGTCTGCATCAAGGACATTTCAAGCTCCTTTTCTGGTTGCTGCACGCAAGCCCAGCTCCCATCACAGGGGTGAGTGGTGTGTCCTTGCTGATCCCACAGGCTTGAGCCCTGGTTCTGTGGGATCCATTCATCTGAAATGGAAATACTTTCTGTTAAGGTTCTCCTAGAGGGAGGAATAAACCCACAGAAGACAAGATGCTGAGTGAACTGGATAGACGCTATGGTGGGTCCAAGTCCCTCAGCCTTCTCCTGAGACTCAGCAGCCAGGGGCTTTCTCTGCACATCTGGACATGCCGTGCCTGGCACAGTGGGAAGGGATCCATGGCAGCTTCACTGCCCCCTGCTGCTTTCATGTCCTGCAGGGCTGTTTCCCAGCCTGGCCTGGCTACAGCTTCTCCCCAGCCTCTGCAGGAAGGCATTTGGCATCAGCTGACAGGGAGCCCAAACTGCAGCACAGGCCATGCACAGCCAGAGATCCCTTGCAATTTCCCAGTCTTGGGGTAGATGTGGAATGGCAGCTCTTTGGAGGAGGGAGGGCCCTGGCCTGGCTCCGAAGTTTTGATGGCTTCCTGAACCTTATTCATGACTTGGACAAGTATTGCCTTTTGAAGATGCCACCTTCCTGTTGGGGAACAGCCCCACCTGATCCAGCTGTGGCTCTTCTTTTCTCCAGAGATGAACCCAAAGGCTGTGCTGAAGGTGCCATTTCCCGGAGGAAGCAGTGGCTCATGGGCAGCCTCTGCTGCAGGAAGGGAGGCCCTGCCAGGCACAGTCCCAGGAGGTAATTGCTGTGCCCCTGGGCCTGAGCCCTGCTGAGGCTTGAGCTGCCATCTCTGTTGCTTGGCTGTGTGAGCACAGTGCAGAGGAATTATCCTGAGCAGGCTCAGGGCACTCGGCTACTGAGCAGTTCTGCTGAGGTCCCTCCATGGGAGACACATCCCAAAACCTGGCAGCGGCTTCAAGGAATGCCCATGGTGGGGAAAGGGCTGAGGGGAGGGTAAAGCTCCAGTGTGCCCTGAGAGGGCCTGGCTCTGTCCCCTTGGGCTGGGGGAGCTGTCCCAGCTGAAGGACGGAGGGCAGGAGAGAGGGCAGGAGGAAGGTAGGGATGTCTGTGGCACTGAATGCTGCAGTTTGGCCCAGGGCTTAATGGTTTCCTCTGTGGCAGGGAGAGCCCCTGGGCCCTGGGCTGGTGCCGCTGCCCCACCAGGGATGTTGCATGGGGCCTGCAAAGAAGGTGGAGAGTGTCCAGAGCCAGCCCAGAGCTCTCCAGGCCCCTCTGCAGCTTTGGCCATGTCCACTGACATCTGGCTCCCTTGGCCATCCCCCGACCCCCTTGCAGTGCCCAGTTTCCTAAGGCAGAAGGGCGTCCCAGCACACCATGGAATGGTTCTGATCTGTGCTCCTTTCTAGACAAGGGTGGTAGGAAGGCTCCTCCAGCAGCTTGGCTTCATGAAGATTTTAAGCCTCTGGAGCCCCATGCAGGTATGTTCTCACTGTCCCAACAAGAAATAATCATTGACAACCTGTCACAAACCAGGTGACAGAAGCTTCTGTGGCTGTTGAGTTACAGGTGTGTCTGCATCAAAGACATTTCAAGCTCCTTTTCTGGTTGCTGCACGCAAGCCCAGCTCCCATCACAGGGGTGAGTGGTTTGTCCCTGCTGATCCCCCAGGCTTGAGCCCTGGTTCTATGGGATCCATTCATCTGAAATGGAAATACCTTCTGTTAAGGTTCTCCGAGAGGGAGGAACAAACCTACAGAGGATAGTAAGTCGCTGGAGACATCCAAACACATGGATAAGATGTTGAGTGAACTGGAGAGACGCCATAGTGAGTCCATGTCCCTCAGCCTTCTCCTGTGACTCAGCAGCTGGGGGCTTTCTCTGCACATCTGGACATGCTATGGCTGGCACAGCAGGAAGGGATCCATGTCAGCCTCGCTGTCCCACTGCTGCTTTCATGGCCAACAGGGCTGTTTCCCAGCCTGGCCTGGCTGCAGCTTCTCCCCAGTCCCTGCAGGAAGGCATTTGGCATCAGCTGACAGGGAGCCCAAACTGCAGCACAGGCCATGCACACCCTGAGATCCCTTGCAATTTCCTGGTCTTGGGCTAGATCAGGTGTAGCGGCTGTTTGGAGGAGGGAGGGCCCTGGCCAGCCCCAATAACCTGGCCTTTCTCCTGATCCTTAACCATGACTTTAACAAATATTGCCACTTGAACATGCCACCTCCTCAATGGGGAATGGTTCTATCTGATCCAGCTGTGGCTCTTACTTCCTCCAGAGATGAACCCAAAGGCTGTGCTGAAGGCAGCGTTTCCCGGAGGAAGCAGTGGCTCATGGGCAGCCTCTGCTGCAGGAAGGGAGGCCATGCCAGGCACAGCCCCAGGAGGTAATTGCTGTGCCTCTGGGCCTGAGCCCTGCTGAGGCTTGAGATGTAAATCTCTGCTCCTTGGCAGTGCCTGCCTTTCAGGGATTTTGCACAGAGCATGGAAAAGGTGTTGAGAATGTCCAGAGCCAGTCCAGAGCTTTCCTCAGGCCTCTCTGCAGCTTTGGCCATGTCCATTGACATCTGGCTCCCATGGCCTTACGTGACCTTCTTGCAGTGCCCAGTTCCCTAAGGCAGAAAGGGATCCCAGCACACCATGGAATGGTTCTGATCTGTTCTCCCTTCTAGATTGGGGTGGTAGGATGGACTTCTCCAGCAGCTTGGCTTCATGAAGATTTTCTGCCTCTGGAGCCCCATGCAGGTATGTTCTCACTGTCCCAACAAGAAATAATCATTGACAACCTGTCACGAACCAGGTGACAGAAGCTTCTGTGGCTGTTGAGTTACAGGTGTGTCTGCATCAAGGACATTTCAAGCTCCTTTTCTGGTTGCTGCACGCAAGCCCAGCTCCCATCACGGGGGTGAGTGGTGTGTCCTTGCTGATCCCACAGGCTTGAGCCCTGGTTCTGTGGGATCCATTCATCTGAAATGGAAATACTTTCTGTTAAGGTTCTCCTAGAGGGAGGAATAAACCCACAGAAGACAAGATGCTGAGTGAACTGGATAGACGCTATGGTGGGTCCATGTCCTTCAGCCTTCTCCTGAGACTCAGCAGCCGGGGGCTTTCTCTGCACATCTGGACATGCCGTGCCTGGCACAGTGGGAAGGGATCCATGGCAGCCTTGCTGCCCCGCTGCTGCTTTCTTGGCCTGCAGGGCTGTTTCCCAGCCTGGCCTGGCTACAGCTTCTCCCCAGCCTCTGCAGGAAGGCATTTGGCATC